GGAAAAGGAAAGTTGATTACATTCTGGTTTACCACTACAAGAAGTCATCTTTCAGCAGAACACTCACTCGACGAATCCATTTCAATGACATGGGGTCTCGGAGCATCAAACAGGATCAACCACTTCCAGGAAAAGGAGGACACGTGGATGAAGGTGAACCCCACATGGACTACCATGAAGATGACAAGAGATTCCGCAGAGAAGAGTATGAAAGCAACCTTATGCAGACAGGTCTTGAATTGGAAAGAGATGAAGATGTAAGTACTCTCCCTTTTTAGTTAGCTGAAATAAACTATTTTGGGGACTGTTTGGTGATATGCAGAACAGAGCCTGGGTTCTGAACCCTTCATAGCAGAAGTAGGAAACTATTTGGTCCTTGCGGTCCAATGTGCAAAAATTTAGCAGGTGAAACTTTTTCTAGCATGGGGATACAACTTCATCTGCTTTGTTGCTGCATGCTGGGTGCTCTTTAAGACAGGGGTGCATGAGTAGTAACAAGTAGTCAATTTGATTCATGAACATTCTAGGAACGCTTATTTCTAGAAATGTTGAAGGTCCATCTTTGTCCATCTTGCTTAGTTACAGAGACTGGCAGAATGCATGATACCCCACACACGGCAATTTTCTCATCCAACTTTGAAATCTCAGTCAACAAGTTGAGGTGGCTCATGCAACTGCTACATCACCATTACCCTTGAAGTCTAGAGTAGCATTGGTATTACAGGCCTTTGTTCTTGCTTCTCTAGCAAACACAAACTGAGACAAGAAGTAGCTGGAGCACACACATGATAAGGAGGCTTTCAAGAAGCTGGTGAAAAGTGCTGGCAACAGCTCCACATTATCAGCCAGTTCTCTTCCTAGAAAAAAATGTAATGACAGCCCAGGGCAGCCTTCTCCAACCTAGTAGTCTCCAGATACTACAATTAGCTCCAGGCAGCATGACCAATTATCAAGGATGGTGCTGCCACAAACCATCTGGAGGACACCAGATTGGGGAAGGCCAGTCTAGGGCTTTAATTTCAGCTGGCTCCAAGGTAAAAGGATCATGAGAGAGGAGCAGCAGCAGTAGCAGCTGCTGCAGATAAAAAGACTGGAGAACACAGTGCTACTATGCTAAAGCTCAGGGATGGATAATATATGGCCCAGAAGTAGGTTAGGCTAAAAGTTAAGGGCTAGTCCAAAGTAACTCAGTGAACTTTATTTGCCCAGTGGGGACTTGAACCTGTATTTCCTGGGCCCCAGTCCAACACTAACTAGTATACCATACTGGCTCTCTGGAGCCTCTACAGAATTCCAGAGGGGTCAAAATTAGCATGCAAACAAGCTTTGGCCTGTTAATTGATCTGTAGCCATTACAGCTGCCATTTTAAAATTCCTCTAATACCTCCCACAGTTGCCAACCGTTGCTAAAGATCCAGAAAATCATGTATCCCTCATCCATGTATCCCTCATCTACACAGTGTATCACTGGATTTGGGAACATGACAGGCATTCTGGTGGTAGCTGCAAAAGTAAAGGCGTGTGAAATAAAAGACAAAGTTCATGCAAAATCTGTTCCATTCTCCTGCTGAGATACATTAGGTTGATTTGGCGCATGCAGCAGAATGTAGTGGTAGAAAGCTGAGGTACTGCAGTGTTTCAATTTCACTTCCTTCCCCTATACATATATATGACCTAGCCCAGCCAATTCTTAGCTATGCTTTTATGCTTACAAGTTTGCTTGCTTTACAAAACAGGCTTTTTGTGTTTTTCACCAAATGAAGAGCACATGTGCATGTGTGAATGTATGCAGACCTGTCTCTGTTGTATTAAATATAGTTGACAATGCACCTTATAAATATAGGAGGAAGAAAGGCTGTGCTGACTTTGCTGAATGAAAATACCCTGGGATTTTGTTATTATGCAGATTTTCCTGCTTTTGTATGGACTTGTACTAGTGATAAATTGTGGATCTTTTCAGGACTTTAACTAGACAGACTACAAATGATTAAAACTCATTTTGCCAATACAGTAGGAAAGAACTATTGTTTCAGGTTCTCCCTTAAGCTACAAATTAAAGGCCTAATTTTGTAGATTAGTGCCCCACCAGGAAAACTGGATTCCTTCAGGTTCATTCCACAGTATGATTGTAATGTTTAAGTATCAATAGCTATCAGTAGCCACAGAATTGGCATTCTGATAGGAGCAAAGGCCTTAGTTCCAGAGGAAAGGTCCACAAAAATGGTGGATGTGATTATGGGCTTCTAAAGATTAAACAGTGGTATGGTAGGGTGAACCCACTGTAAGCCATAGATATGAGCAGCATGTTGTCAGGAATCTGCATGGCAGAGGAGATAGATAGGTGGAGCATATCGTTTCATTATGGGGCATAGATCCAAGAGAAACCAGTGGAGAGATTCCCACGGAAGTATATTTTGACCTTGTCAGTATTATCTCCCACAGGGATATGTTCCTTTCTGCCAGTGGCCTCATACGAGGCTTGCATGCAAGGGTGAAGATGAGTAACAAAAAAACAAGAATCCTATTTACTGAACTAAGAGCAAGGCCTGGAGTTTCACACAAAAATCCCAGTTCTTTGTAATCCCAGTAGAGTTCTTTATTGACACTCACACGTTTGCAAGCTTTCTCTGCAGATCTGGGAATATTCGTGCTTGATCTTGCCAGGTCTGCTTCCTTTCCCTCAGGGCCCCAGCTATACTTAGTGAATATAGGCCTTGTCCTCCAGCAGTTTTTTCTGCACTCCTGATTAGTGTTAATGCTTTACCTTAGCCTTCTGAATATAACCTGCATTAGGGCCCATTCTCATGACCAAACCTACGCCAGAAATGCTCATAGGCAAGGAGTTTGGCATGTGCCAAAGTTTTAACTGGAATGAGTAAGATTCACAGATTCACAGAAGATGAACCACCATATGGCATTGAATTAACCTTCTTATTTAGCAAAATGAATGGAACTTTTAACAGTCAGTGTTGAAATGCCGACCTTTCAAAAGATTAGTATTAAAACGCCTTCATTTGATCTAGCTGACTTTTGTTGTCAACTAGATGTTGTCTAGTTGACATCTTTTCTTTAAATATTAAGAAGCTAATACAGGTATCAGTCCAAATCAAGCCTAGATGTATGCCAACAATCTCAGAGAGATTTAAGGCACCATCATCTGTATATTTAGACAGAAAAAATGGCTGCAGAATACTGGGAGTTATAGGACTTTTTTCTTTCAAAACATGCTTAGGATTGCACCCTTCAAATCAAGTCTTAAATTGCACCAGTCTAGAACAAGATTTATTCTATAATTATCCCAGTTGCTTCTATGCAACATACACTGCAGTTATGACCCTCTATTAGAAGGCAGAGGAGGAGAGGGGCTTCTGAATAAATCTCCCCCAGTCTATTAGTCAGTGGTTAGTCCAGTTAAGGAATTGTGACAATCCTGTCTACAGCAATATTACCATTTCATAGCTGGAGCCTATGATGAAGCTATAGCCCATTCTGCATTTTTTCACATACACAGATAGCACTCCGTCCAACACAGCCCTCTGCACAAAGAAGCAGGATTTAAAACAGAAACCTGGAATGTAAAGTCTTTTTGTGTTCATAGCATCATGCTAAAGGTTTTCCTTCAGCTAAATGCTGCACAGTATTCAACAGATGTACTTATTTCTCCTGTCACTGCTTCTAACAAATACAGGAACTCCAGCTCTCCATCAAAAAGAAGTATTGATACTGTTATTTTAGCTTCCATTTGTTCATGGGAACCTTTTAGCAAATGTTCCAAATTAAATGCTGGGATCCAAGATGCAATTAGGCTGTGATTAAAGACTGGTAGCACAGCTCCTTTTCACCTGCGTAGCCAAAGCAAAGTGTTCTATTAAAAGAGTGCCTGTCGCAAATAATGATTGTGGTATGTGTGAACTAGTGCCAGCATGATTAACTGGGAAAAACTCAGCCTTACTAATTTCAAAGGGAGAGGCTCATTTTCAATTGGCTGCTGTGCATTTAATGTTGCCACAGGCAATATGGAAGGAAGCCGTCAGTGTTCTTAATACTTTGTAGAAGGGAAAATCTGGCAATTCAGGGTTTTGCATTCTAGGATTTTTGTCATATATTGGATCTGGCACACCTGCTCAGTTGGAAGAATACATTTCTGTGCGCATTTTCAGGGCTGGGCACCTATATTTGAACTTTACTGCCTAAATATAGGAAATCTACTCAAATGGTAGAATTAGCAAATAACCAATTTTCATAGAATCATGGAAGAGTAGAGTTGGAAGGGGCCATGAAGGCCATTGGGTCCAACCCCATGCGGTTGCAGGACACCAAGTTACACCATAAATGTATCTAAGGAACAATAGCTTTTAACCACCTTAACAAATTGCTGTAGTAGAGATTTCCTAATTCATCTGTTGTTTTGTTGACCTACCACAACAGCTTTCCGCACCCTGCTAAAGTGTTGCACTGCAACTCTCATATTGGGACTTGTTGCATCACAGCACAGCAACACGTGTATAGGTGTACTTCTTCAATCAGAAAATGAAGCAGACCACTGAGAGAGGCACCAGCTTGAGACATCATGTTTAACTTAAATTATAGAAGTAAGTCAGGACACAATCCTGTGCATATTTATATGTGGTGTGGGGAGGCCACCACTCCCAGTATGCCCAGCAAGTCATCCTGGCTAGGTCATGCTATGATTTGCAGGAATTTCTTCTGTCTAAACATGCATAGGATTGTGCTCTAATACACCTAAAATACATTAAGGTAGCAAGGATGAATGCAAACAATTAGAAACATGTTTCCTAACATTGTCTTTAAAAGTGCCTTACCATTCTGGCTTGACAAACCTTAATGCAACAGTTCCACTTCATTTGGAATTCATACCAAATTTCAGAAATACATTATTTTCTGGACTGCAATAACCTTTTTGGCTTTTCAGAATACATTTGTAATTACTGGCTGATGCACATTCTGCATGATACTGGTTAGAAAGCTAGCTAGGATCTAAATCCAAACCATAATTTATCATTCCTTTCATCTCTTTTGTTATTTTAAGCCAATGGATCTCTGGATTTCTCTGGATACAATTCATCTGAGAGCATTTCCTGAACAGAGTTGTGCTCAGAACACTTCTGGTCAATGGAAGAACAGGGAGGCTATTTTGGCCATTTCCTTATCCCTCTGCAATTCCCAGCCTAAGCCCTCCCCATTGCTTTTGAGGGACTCCCAATGCTCCAGAACAGGTATTTGGGAGGTGAAGTACTGGAGAGGATGGGGGAATCAACAAAGATCACCTCTTTCAGTCCTCCAGTGTGAATGATCTGCTGAAGCCTTCCATGGACAGAAGGAGCCCTTCCATCCTCAGAAGGCAAATACTGAATCAGGCCCAGTTTCCACTACCTGTGTATAAAATTATTCAGAGTGAATGACATTTTCAGGATTTTTATTGTTCTGACCTATATAGAGTTTTGTGGTCAAATATCAGTTATATGACTTGTAATTGTGCTCTTTTAAGCAAATTGATACAAATTTGGTTCGCAACTCATGACAAGCTAAGGGAATGTGCATTTTCTCTTCTTCCAAATACAAATGAATTATTAACCTATGACTTGGGCTTGCTCAAAACCCGATTTTGAACTTAATTTCCAACTTTGGTTTGGAGGTCAAGAACAAACCATTGTGTGCCAGTCTGAATGCAACAGAAAACCATGGCTTGAACTATATAGTAAATGGCCCAGTTTGTATGATCACCAGGGATAACAAGAAGCCATGACGCCTTCCTTACCTCCAGGCATGCTGGTCACATAACATGTGATTTGTCTAATTACCCTAATGATGTGCAGGTTGCTATATCATTTGAATCCAGCAAGGTGCACAGCAGGGGAGTGGCTTCCATACCACAGAATTCTACAAGAAGCCATGAGTTTTGAAGTGGCTTGGAAGCCTCTCTCACTGCATACCTCACCTGATCCAGATGGCACAGCAACATGCATGAGGCGAGACTAATTAGACAAATCATGTGAATGACAAGCTCTCATGGGAGCAGGGAAGAGAAGCCACTGTGGCTTCTTTTCCCCAGTGATCATGCAAACCCAGCCAGTAAGTAACTGAATTACAGCATGCACAAGGAAGCAGAGGGCACAGAAGAAAGCATGTGGACATTTCACTCATTTAACACCAAATGGTAGCTTGGTGTTATGAGTTAAACAACTCTTAGTTAATAGCATATTTGAAATAATTTGTTTCCATCAAGACAGGGCTCTGCAACTTTGCTTTTTCCTGAATAAAATTATTTCCAATGATGGTTCATTCATTAGAGTACTATAAAAATATTTAATTTAAAATTAAAGATGATAAATGATATAACACTACTTTAAGGATGCAATCCTATGACCTATGATTGAGTTCAAGACTTTACCAGTAGTACTTCCTTCTGCTTCAAAATGTGGTTGCATCTTACGGTAGTTCTTCCTAGGGTTAATGAATTGGACTAACATTACAACCCATTAGATACAATCAATACATTGATTGTTCTGTACCTCTTTTAATCGCCATAGTTCATGTGAAATATGTTTTGTGTCCTTATCCTGTAGAAGGAATTGTCTTGCTTCTGGAGAGATACTGTTTATTTTTATAATTACATCCCACTTTTTCCTCCAAGGAACCCAAGGCAGCATACATAATACTTTTATTTCTCTGCTTTATCCTCACAAAAACCCTGTGGGGTAGGTTAGGCTGAAACTTCATGGCCAGGTGGGACCAGAACCTGGATTTCCCAAGTCCCAGTCCAACACCCAACCACTAGTCCACGTTGGCTTTCACTTTTCTTCAGTTTAGTTTATGTCACATTTTTACAGAAGTCATGTTAACTGACTGCTAGCACAATTGCATGCATGTTTACTTGGAAGTAAGCCCAATGTGTTCTATAGATCTTACTTCAGTTTGCATTGGATTGCAATTCAAGGCTGAAATCCTTTATTATTTTATTTATTAATAATAAATAATTATTGATCTATTTGATTTGTATTCTTTAATATGTAGGTTATAATCCAGTATCCATTAACCTGGGAATAATCTTTAAAGATCTTACCTCTGAATACATATATGTCTAAGATTACATTTATTTTCCTGGGATAAAGCCTCATTGGATAAATTGGTATAGGATTTTACCATATGGCTGAAAACCGATACATGTTTACTTAGGAATAAAAGCATGGAATACAGTGGGGTAGGGGATTGGGTTACTTCCAAATAAACTTGTATCACATTGAACTGTAGGGTACTATCCAGCAGTGTAAAATATTACAAAATAAGAAAAAGTATGAAGTACAAAGATAACTGAATGAAGTCTACCTATAGGGCAAAGGAATTATGTGGAATCATTTGATTGGCTGTCATTGAAAGTTCCTCGCAGGCTTTCAGGTGACCTTAATACTGGTTAAAAGTAAAAGCTTGTTTCAAGGAAGACTTATTAAGTTGATTAAATTCTCCTCCCTGCAGAAAGCTAATACCTGTTTTTGAAGCCATGCCATATTGAAGATTGGCAGCTATTTGTGTCCCTTGAGTAATGCATTTCTAGTAAGCAGGTGTGCAAGGCGGCAGAATGGAAACCAGCTTTCTTGCCTATGTAAACTGGTACAGTGGCAGCAGCAGTAAAGCAAAGGACAAGGAAGAGAGTCTCAGCCTTGGAGCTGGTGTTCCTGAAAACCTGGATTTGCACATACTTAACTGAACTCTTCCTCTGAAAATGATTTTTAAAATTGAAGCTGAAATTTGAACATTGCCTAATAGGATTAATCCATTTACTCCATGGGCTCTGATACTTCGAATTCATAAGCCAAGTAAGCATCACAGTAGAACATGCTTTGAAATACCCAGATTTATACAGGAGGATTAATCAAATATTAAAGTTACCATCCTGTATATGAGACTTGGAATTGAAGGTACTTGTTAATTTGAGCTAAATGAGGAAAGAATCCATTTACAATGAAAGGGACTGCTGTAATGAATTGCAGTCAAATATTTCTAGTGACCTATCACCTAATATTACAATCTGTACCTCCTAGCTTCAGCTATGGTTGCTAACTTTCTATAGGGGATTATTTAAATTTAAAACATGACTATTTAACATCAATATTGTCCCCACAGTCTGTCTTTAAGGAATGTTGATTTATCTTTTAAGGATGCATACTTATGCGTGCATACAGTGCATGTTTTAAGAGAAAAACAGTCCTACACCTCCTAGCATGACTCAGTAGGTCATCCTGGGACATGTAGAATTTTATTCCTATCCACATATACATAGCATTGCACCTAAACTTATTTGTTGGTAAACAGCATTGATGGTCAGTGCATCTCCTTATCAGTCCTTGTTTTCTCTATAGTCATTATTTTATCCATGATACCTTTTTCTTATTCTAACACTGAGTTGCAAAAGCTTATTGACTTCACATAAAATTGAAGGAATTTATGTTTTATGTTATTGAGTCTAAGACTTCCTCTTTCTCTCCTGTTTAAATGATTTTTAGACAAAAATACATGGTCTTGGATTTGTAAAAATTCATGCCCCATGGAATGTTTTGTGCCGGGAAGCTGAATTTATGAAATTGAAGATGCCCACAAAAAAGGTTAGTTTCAATATTTTTATTAGACTAAATGTAATAGATGGGATCAGTTTTTAATGTTTAATGCTTTTCAAAGGGCTTCCAACATGTTGATGGATTTTCCCAGCTGCTTCATAAAAAGACATGATCTTTCTGTGTAAAGGAAGTTAAATAAGTATCTTAAGTAGATTGATAAAGCTTATTATACAATTTAATGTATCTGTTTGAGCTGCGGATGCTGAGAGTTGTAAACTTGAGTGCATGTTCAGTGCACTGCATCTTAAGAGGCATAGAGAGCAACTTGATGCCACTTCGTAGCTTGATTACCACAAAATTGTCTTTCCATGCGGCTTGCACAGGTTTCCACTTGAAATAGCTGCACTTTTGTCTGTTGATCACGGCCAACTAGCCCAGAGTCAAAGCAGTGTTCTCTGTGGACAAGAGACTGCTTCTTAGTTTTTCCAAGTTGCCTCAACACCCTAATGGGCCACCATTGCCTGAAGCAGACCATCCAATGACCAACTGAAGAATTCTAAATTCGTTGTCTTATCCAAACAATCTCTGGAACAACAGGCTAATGCTCCTTTTGCAAAGAAACACAACTGAGACACTTGGCTCTTTTCTGGAAAACAAAAGCAGAAATAAACTGTTTACATGCTTAGATATACCAAAATTTGTGAAGATAGATTTGTGCCCCTGGCATGGTTGATGCAACTTTATGGGTATAGCTTTTCTACAAACCAAAAAACATTTTGTACCAGTTTTGCTGTTAAGCCTTCTTCCATGAGAATATCTTTTTGCTGACCTGTTGTGAAGTTCTCCCTATCAGAAAAGCATAGGCCCTTTCAGGACTGCAGTTCCAAGGATCCTGTGATCTTAAAGTTGCTCAGTGACAAGGGATTAGATACTTAAGCTCACTAATGCTTCGAATAGACCTATTTAGATCAATGGGACTTAAAACAGTAGTGACCAACTAAAGGACTGGCTTAAGTCTCATTTTCAGTTCATCAGTCCCAAGTGAGACCAAATCCAGATCCGGCCAAATGTAGGTAGGATTCCCACACTACCAGTGCTGGATTCCCAGTCAACTTAACATAAGTCTCACTATGGTAGTACAATCATGGTATACATTTCATGCTTATGGCAAGTCCACCCAGCATGATCCCTTGTGCTATGGAGGCTTTTGCTTGAAGTCTGGGAGGCAGAAAACACCCAGGGAAAGGCTCCCTGTCTCTCAATATTGCAGATTACATGTGCAAATATGAAAAGGGCAGTCTCTGTGTCCTTCAATCCAGTACTGCATATCATCTTACCAGCAACATTAGCATGACAAGGTATATATGATTCCATATTTAGAAGTGTGTGTGTTTCTGTGCAAGCATTTCTTTATGCATGTGAATAAAGAAATGGCTGCTTGTGCCCAGTCTTAGCCAAGCATAGAAGGCTTGGTAGGATCCTGTCCGAAAGTTCCAGTGAATACTTGAATAATCATTATAAAAGTGACAAGACATTGCCACCAGAGAACAAGCTTATATGAGATATGTGAAGCTTCTGAAAGATGGATCTGTACCTGTTCAGGATACAAAACTGATCAATGAATCAATATTTAATGACATGCTAAGTGCAGAACCCAGAGTCTGCAGGGAAATCGCTCTAATGGAACAAGAGACAGCTTGAGAGTACAAGGTAATTTATTGCGAGTCAAACTAAAATTAAACTTTGGGTTTGAATTTTAGATTAGCAACTGGTCCAGTCCTATTTATCATATTACTTATTTTAATTATGTTTCCAACTTTTTAAAAATAGCCTGCCCATTTTAGTCAAGAATTTAGAAGAATGGAGATGTAGGGTTGGAAAGGATCTGATCTGCTCCAGTCTCCTGCCCCGAAGTTCAGTGCTCCTGAACCAAAAATAGATGACATGGTCCAAAAGCATAGTCCTTGACAGTGCTTAAACAGGAAGGGCAAGCATGCTGTAAGCACATATACTCAGTAACCTGTATAAATTATTCTCATTTGCATGATCCCTTATTTGGCACAGTTTATTCTGCAGTAGTACTATTTACAAAATTAATGAGGAGAATGAGTCACTGAAGCCCTGTTTTTTGTCAAGTGGCATTTTCATTCAACATCTTCTCTGGTTGCTGAGAGTTTGCTAGGTATTGCTCAGTAAAATTTAGGTTCTGATGCAACCATAGGAACTTTTTAAAAAAGAGAACCAGGATTCTTAGAAAGTTGAATTGGTAAGGCCATTATTTGTCCTGAAGTATAGCCCTAATTGTTCAGTATCCTGTCTCTGATAACTGCTTTTTAATGGGTTAGTAATGTATACTGTATACAATGCAGGTAAACTAGAAGTGTGCTCTGAGACCTAGATTCAATTTGCACCCAGTCCAGCACATCAGAAAATGGCCCAATTCTGTGTGGCCTGTTTTGGAAGCTGTCTGCTTCAACCTGGGAACTCTTCAACCTGTGCAGAGATGACCAATTCCATGTTTCAGAGGTGTAGGTGCAATGGTTCATGCAGAAGAGAAATCCCCCAATTCTGAGGGGAGAGAAGTTATTTAATTACCTTTCCCTCCCCACTCTCATTTTTTGGATGGTTAGTATGCATGAAAGTGGCACACTTCATAGAGTTATCCCTGGGCGCAAAACCAGCATAGTTTCAGAAGGAAAGGGGAGTTCTGATGAGCAAAAACAACTTTATGACTTTATTCACAGCAAAGCCTAGTGACATAGGAAGAAGGGCAATCTCACAATTCCATCTTTGTCTTCCCCCAAAGAACAGTGATTGGAGCCCCTCAAAATATTATCTAGGATCAGGAGGTGGATCTGTCTGTGACTCAGCCACACTTACCCCCCCCGCCCCCCTCCCACCCCAGCCATGTCAGCATTTTAGAGAAACAAAGCCAAAATATACTATTTGGAGAGGAGAGGACTCCAAATTGGTGAAGTTTGGGGTTCTTTCCTCTTTTCTGTGGCTTCCCTTGTATCATCATCATCACAACAGCCATGAATGCACATGGTACTCATTGTGCTGACTTTGGAAAGTGTTTGCAGTTCTTGTTTGGCTGGGAACCATAGAAATCAAGAAAGGGAAAAGAAGGAGTTCTCCTGCTCTAGTGGAAAAAAAGAATAAGCAAGCAATAAAGCAATAATGACCAGTTAATTATTCAGAGCAAAATTCCATGTTTCATGAGTGGGCCAGTGTCCATGGTACAGGATTTTCTCTGTATCTTTTCATCCATGCCACCTCCTCCCTTGCCAAATCTTCCTCTCTGTTGATAGTATGAAGAAACCTGCAGTGGGAGGGGGGCAACCCTCCCTCTTCCACTGATGGGAACCGTTCCATAGGCACAAAGGGTTCATTGGGTACCAGTGGTATGTTTTAATTTCTCAGAAAGGTTCCATAAATAGTGACAGAAGAGACATCCATGTTGTTGATCTAGTTATTCTGGTTTATTGTAGAGTACTGATATTTGTAATATCACAGTCCACAACCATTCGTGTGTTAAATTACATTGACAACTGCAGTTTATTTCCCGTTATGACTTTTGGCTCACCCAGAGGTACAGTTTGTGGGAACTGACACACCCCATATGGAGCATTCATTTGTACAGCGGCTGCCAACAAATGAACCCACCCCGGGTCACAGTTCAGTCACTGTTGACTTGCTACCCTGTCTCTTATCTGTTTTTCAGTACAGAATATAGCAATATGTTTCTGAACATATCATTTTAGTTTATGCTGAGTAACCAATCGGCCCAGCTAATGGTCCAGAAAGCCCATAGCAGTTGTCTATTCTGACTGGCAGTTAGCTGCCTGAGATACTGGGAAGAGGTTTGTCTGATGAGCAAAGACACTGGGGATTGACTGGCTACCAGCAACACGCACCTGAACTATGGCCTCTCTCTTTGAATTGCCCCCTGACAGATTTTTCTTTTCTTTTAAAGAACGTTCTATTCACAAAGGCATTTTATGGTTTGCAAATAACTTGGAGGAAATAATATTTCTTTGTCTCTCCATTTGTTTGTTTTGGCCCTCAGGTGTATCAAATTCATCAACCACACGGCCTTTTGAAAAAAATCAATTCTGTAATTCAAAAAATAACAGAGCCCATCCAACCTAAAGTGGCAGAACAGAAGCATCAGACAGTGAAACGCCTCTCCTACCCCTTCTCCAGGGAGAAACAACACTTGTAAGTTAGAGTTCATCTTCTTTATTTAATGTCATTTTCTGCAGAATTGGCCTCTGGGGATACCACTCGAGGCTAAATCATGAGAATATTAATAGAAATACGTAGGACAGTGTTTTGATACAACTTGCACTAAAATTATCATTTTTTCCAAATAAACAGGATCTCTTCTGTCTCAGAAAAGAGCTCTGACGTAGTGAGATTCTGTAAAGACTTATACTGCAATAGTATACATGTCTGCTTGGAAGTGCACTGAGGCTATAGTCTTATGCTTACATACTTGGAGCAACCACAGTGAAACAAGTCATTTTCACTGTAAAACAAAGCCATATTTGTGTCTCTGCAAAATTAAAAAAATCAAAATAAAGATGCATAGCTCTTGCAGCTTCTTCTTGTCCAAATGTGGTTTGAGAAAAAAATAGCCCCAATGTGATTTCATTGAGTTCAATTTTCATGTAACTGGTTCACCACAAGCAAACTATAATACAAACCAGAAAAAACAGCTTGCTAAATGTTCAGTGTTTACATGGACCAAGCATGAGAAGGAAAGAATAGGTCAATAGGTGTGCTGCATTGCTTACATCTTTATATGCCCGACCGCCCCTTGAGATCTGCGGGAGAGGCCCTTCTCCGGGAACCCTCCATGAAAGAAATTAGGAGGGTAGGTACTCGGAGGAGGGCTTTCTCTGCGGTGGCGCCCAATCTATGGAATGCGCTCCCCAGAGAGGTCCGCCTGGCGCCGTCGTTATTTGTTTTTCGGCACCAGGTGAAGACCTTTTTATTTAAACGTCATTTTAATTGTTAACAATATTTGCTTATTTATCTGGCCAGGGCGACTTCTTTTATATTTTATATCTTTTATATTTTATATTTTTTATTTATTTTATATTGTTAATTTTAATTTTATATTGTTATTTTTGTATTTTATTGTGTTGTAAGCTGCCCCGAGGCTTCGGCAAGGGGCAGCATAGAAATGTTCTAATAATAATAATAATAATAATTGTTACAAGTCACAGTTCACAATGAATGTGGATGATTCATTGTGAATCATTTTCTTGAATGATTGGAAAGCATAGACTCCAGGTCACCATTTTTGTCAGAGCTGCCATATGGTCAGATGTGTGTGCAACAGCCATCATTTGGATTTTCCAAAAACCTGGATTAAACGTGGAATTAGAAAAAAGCTTTTGCCTTCTCAGAGAGTCCAGCCTAAAAATACCATAGATGGGGCTCGTTAAACTTCAGCTGCCAAGTACAAGATGGCTTTATTTATTTGTTTGTTTGTTTGTTTGGAGTTTTTGTATGCCATCCCATTCGCATAAGCCTCGGGACAGCTTCCAAGATAATAAATACACAGCATATAAATAGTACATATAAGATCCAGATTCCCCCGGCTTTAGCAATTAAAACCAATAAAAGATGTTAACAGTTATTAAAATATTGTCGAAATAAAAAGGTCTTGCGATTCTCAGTATAGAAACAGATATGCCTTTTCTTTATTGAGATACACTTTTACTGTACTCATTGTGATTTCTCTGTGCCATTTCTTGTATTTTTAAAAAAGTAAGTTTTGTAGGTCGCAGTACATGAAATCAGCAGAGAAGTACATTAATTTTGCAGGAGTAAGCAACAGGTGCTATATCTAGGAAACAGCAAACACTGTTGGTACTTTTCCCACTGAAGCCAGTGAGAGATTGGAAATGAATGGCCAAAACTTTAAAGGCATATTTAATTGCTATGCCCTTTTTCATGTTTACTCTAAAGTAGCATCTTGGGGCTACTTCAAAGCTGCACTCATCCAATTCAATGGCACTGTACCTACCCTAGAGTAAAAATGAGAGAGAGAGAGAGAGAGAGAGAGAGAGAGAGAGAGAGAGAGAGAGATCTGCTGAATATAGATGTATAGTAAGCGTTGGTTTTGGCTTGCAGAAGGTTTTGAAATTCTAAAACTTCTAAACAGGAGTGGCTGCTGTCTGAACAACCATTAAAATCAAGTAATGACTTGGCTGAAAAATAAGGCTACCTTCTTGGAAATCTGTATTACTGTATATTGATCCATTTTCCCATGTCTAATATTTTAACAGATTTGATCTCTCTGATAAAGAATCATTTTTTGACAGCAAAACCAGAAGTACCATAGTAAGTATTACAAAAAGTAATATCATCTGGTAAAGTTATTTCCCCACAGTAATATGGGATTCCTCTTTAAGTATACATATTTATAATTGAAGTCTCAATACTGTACTAGTTCTATACATTCAGATACACAAACCTATATTCCATACCTGTATCTTGGTTAATGGAAAATGCATTCGTTTTTTCAACTGATTTTTATTGAGCAATCGTAAAACATGTTGCACTTATAAATGATGAATAAAGGATATTAATCACTAGGAGAACTTGCTTCAAAATATGTTGACATCTTGTGGTAGCGTAAGCAGCCTTTTTAAGCCACATTTTGGATCAGTGAACTTTGGGCAACCATGTAATCAATTGTGCACAACTGAGCCAGTAAAATAAGGAAAAAATCACCCGCATCCAGGGCTAGTCATACACTGGGAGTTAGTAAAATCATGCCTTCATTTTCAGAATATTTATATCAACATTATAGGGGATGACAATCATATGAAGTATTTGTGGCATAGCAATAGCAATTTGTGTGCTCCATTTTGCATGTATTGAATTAAAATGAAAATTTAATGAGCTTCTGTAACAATATCCACTCTACAAAAAGGTTAGACATTTGGTTTTCTCCTAATTTACTCGATTTCTTGCTACAGTAAAGTCTTCCAGTGATCATTTTTAAGTTCTGTTATAATGTTAACTATATAGGAAAATATCATTTTTCCATCTCTAGCACATAGTTTATGAACATGCATTTATCGTTCTCATTTAAAGTCCTCCCTTCCTTAGTTCTGCTCATGAAAACTAAGCAGCGTACAGTTCTAGTTTTCAGGGTCTCATGAATGTGAGGTGGGTGACACTTTTTAGCAAACCTGGGTATTTGAGAAGTAGTTCAGGAATGGGATGCCTTGATTCTAAACTTCTCTATAGTCTACACTCAGCTAAACTGACAAGCATGGTGAAGAAGCTATAACCAAAAGATTAACAAAATATGCTAAATGTTGATTAGCATCCAGCTTCTGGTAGCTCCTCTTAGCTGTTAGAAAGCAAAAGAGTCCGTATAAAGGCTTTACAGCTTCACATAGTCCCTCCATCTTCCTCCCTATCCTAATCTGCTTCCAATAATCCAAACCCCCAGTACTACTATAAATCCTGTTCATGACTCCTACATTTGCTCATATGATGATCTCACCTTCCACTTTACTGAGATTCCTTCTCTCTTCCATACTTGCTTAGTTTTCTGGCTCCTTTTCTCTTCTGGTGTCTGCAACAAGAAATCTCAAATGCTGTTAAATTTTAACACATTGACTTAACTTTTAGTTGTTTTACTTTGAATCACTTTGAATAACATTTGCTAATTTGTAGATTTCTTTTTAAGAACAATCCTCTGATAAGAATATTTGCCAGAATTCATTACCATATAAGTTAATTAAAGGTACTGAAGAATGCTCGAAGTTGTAGGTTTTTTCCTATCCAAACATGAATAGACAATTGTACCTTAATTCTGCATAAAATGTACCAATTCCTCTATAGAAATAGGTAAATCAACCCATAAACAAATATAAAAACTGCTCACCTTAACTGTTCCAAGTAATTCTGTGGTATTCCAATTAAACATCCAAATAAATCTAAAAGAAATATTTGAAATGTCTGAATTCATAGTCAAATACTTAACAAATCAACACTAGAAGGAAAAGAATAACTTTTATTGTTTCAGATGGTGAAAAATGTTAATAGTTATACATAATTTCCCATAAATATCCCCTTTTCCAAATTTCTATTTTCAAAAAAGAACCCTCTGAAGGCTCAGTCCAGTGCACACTGAAATAAATCTGAGTTCTGCACAGGATTGCTTCCATTCTTCTGGAAGCACTTACTTGTGAGGTTTTCTTTTGCAAGAAAGAAATGTAAGAGAAGCAGTACCTGCAGTCCTTTATTGTTGTGTTTCCTTGACTTGAGAATGCAGCTGCAGTAGCCTAATTACATGACTTCTATTTTTTGACATGCCAACATCCATCTGAAAGATAAATACAGCCACAATGCTAAAAGTGTACATGTTTAAACAAAACAAAATTGTTAAGCAAGACAGGAAAGAAAAGGGCATCAGTTTAATTCCAAAAGTATACCTAGTCTTGGAGGTAATTTATGCCACTTTGGGGCTCATTAGAGTGAAGGGAACCGTATGGCTTTGGAATTTTTTAATTGGCTTGAACCTTCCCTTCTGAAGGGAAGGGACCACAAACATACAGATGATTCGTGCATCTCCAGGGGGATGGTTGCAAGGGATCTCTGATTAGACAGGGTGCGCCATATGTGCTGCAAGTGGTTATTACAGTCCACCGTTTATGCTGGGCACAACTGGTAACTCTTTGCCATACATGGCAATGACTGCAGTTCCTGCTTACATTATCCATCGCTTAGGTTGGCCAAAAGGGGTTTACACGAATGTAAGGCTTCAGCATTCCACCACCTAACATTGTAAACATAAAGAATTCTTTTCTCCTTTTCGATTCCTTTGTTCTTCTTGAATGTTAGTGTGGAGATCCGCTTATAGTACTAACACAGATCTGTGCTTACACTCTTGAATTGTGAGTGTGTGGGCTGATTGGTCAGGGATAATCCATCATCATGATCAGAGGACTGACAACCCTCAGTAGTGGGGGTGGGGGGGTTCATGTGTTTATCTGTTCAAATTTATATACTATTCTCTACATGACTAGAATAACTGCTATCTTATATAAATCTTATATAAATTATGTGAATGCAATATAGATAGGTGTGATATGGAATATTTGTGGTATATCTTTGATATTTATAGTTCTTTTTTGTTTTTAGCTTATCTGAGTACATTTGTACGGATTTAAAAAGTTATGCTTTCTATAGATAAATACCATAACTTAGTGGTTCATGGGTTTCTTGGTATTTACTTTTGCTGTATAAAGACATATAAGGTATTTTTGTAGAATGAAACTGTACAAGCAGAAACCAACTTGCAAACAACAGGCAAGGGAATAATTGAACTAAAGTGCAGCTACTTTCAGAACTTCAGTTTGCAAAGTGGTCTTCTAGCATTTGTGTAACAGGAAAAAGCACAGAGCTCCATGTTAGAGGGCTTCTTCTTCTAATGGTACATTGTGTTTCAGTCACAGGCTTTTGAATCAGTTGCACACAGTATGCAATGCACTATCTATTTGTTGTATATTTCTCTTTAAAAATAAAGTGGGTGTGTATATAAATTCTAGGTAAAATGTAATTAAGTTGTAATTAAAACTTAAAATAGGCAGTATAAATTCTTCCTGGTGCAGTTGAAAACAATGAGATTCACAACAGTATTAAAATAATGGTAAACTATGGTAAAAATGAACTAATAAATTAAAACATCAGCATTCAGTATGTACAGATAAAATCTACTCATATTGAATAATCTAGCATATTTTATAAAAACAGCAGTGAACCTGATACATGGCTGCCATGGCAGCTCTTTAAAAAGAAAAATTAAAATGTCTTTACCTGATCTTCTCAGAGTACAGCCCTATATATTCTTACATGGGAATAAATCTGATTGTACTCATGAGACTTACTTTGGGAGGAGATGCATAGGATTGTGTCTAAAGGTGCTAACAGAGTGGATCTAGCAAACCTCTTGTAGTAGGAAAATTTACAGCACTGCAAGCTCCCCTGGCCCATGTCTGATTGCCTTTGGAATGAATCTGCACACATCCAAAAAAAACACCCTTGTGTTATTTCCAGAGCTATCCACATTTACCTTTGAAATAAGCCTTCCCTTCTCTGACCTATCCAGCCCCCAGTCTTCCCTTTTCCCATTCGTACCCTTTTGCCCCAAACCCTTCCCATGAATTCCCCTTACCTGGGTGGGGTGGGCATTCCCCAGAGACTGCATGTGGCCAGGTGTGCTGCAATGCAACAGACAAGGTGCCAGAGAAAGGTGGGGAGATCCTTTCTCTACCCACAGCTTTCCACCCCACAGATCCTACAGCACTGTTACTGGCCACACATGCTAGGCAAGTGAGATTGAAGGGGAGGACAGGCGATTCATAAGAACACAGGTCTTGTCGGTAGTGGTGCAAAGGAGGTTGTTAATTGGGAAAGAGGTATGGGCTTGGGGTGGATGTGACCAGGTGAGGGAAATACTTTCCCAGCTCTGATTCTAAGCCAGAAAAGAGCTGAGGGTCAGCTTTGAGGTGAACATCATGAGCCCTTCAGATTTACATTCGAAGTGCACAAATATGAGCCATGAAAACACATTCAGGTCCTACAAATCTCATTTTGGATTGTGGTGATTAGCAGTGGCAGTGGTAGTAGTCATCATAGTATACTAATGGCTAGTAGTCACAGTAGCACTAATTAGATTTATTAGTTGCCTTTCTTCTTAGAAAAAGTCTCGAGTTTAAAAAAAAAAACACAACTTGAGAGCCAGTATAGCTTAGTGATTAGAGTGTGGAGACTGGGACTTTGGAGATCTGGGTTCTACTCCCCACTTGGCCATGAAGTTCAATGGGTAACTCTGGTCCAGTCATTGACCTCCCTCCCAGAGTTCTTGTGAAGTTAAAATGGAAAGGAGGATGGGGATCCCGTGAGCTGCCTTGGGTTCTTTGCCGCAAGAAAGGCATGGTATAGGTATAATGAATAAGTAAGAATAGAATAAGACAACCTGCAACTAGTAATGACTCATTCAGTGATTTTAATTCGTAAGGCAAAATGTTCCTATGCCAAAGAGCATGTCATCAGCCTTAAGTAGCAAAGCCTTGGCAATTGTGTTCTGAATGTACTGTACAAAAACTGTGTCTTGAAACAATGGCAAGTTCTTAAAATGTTTCTCATGTTTTCATTATGAAGCTCAAGAATGTAAATATACCAGTGTTCTAATTTGATTTGTGCCTAATGTAAGTCCTATGGTTCATTTCCCAAGTGTTACTTGTGGCCTGGTGCTTATGAAGCTCCTTTTTCCCTATAGGTTTACGAAATACTGAAAAGAACTACATGCACGAAAGCCAAATACAGCATGGGTAAGACAGTTTATGTAGGTTCCAAATGAGCATTTTTCCAGATTGCAGAATGTTTGCGATTTATACTTGAAGAGTTTGTGACTTGTTCACAATTTTCCCTAATGTGAATCAAACAACTGAGTGAAATGATGCAATATTTTAATTTGGAGAGATTGTTAGCTGCTCAAAGTAATGTTGTATATTGGGTCTCCAGCTCCTATAATATGCCTATGTGTATAGGACCTATATAGGTATATAATGGAACTATACTCTTCTAATAAATTATATTAAATAAATTCTGTATACACATGCACAAACACACATGCACAAACTTATTTAAGCATCTCTCTGTTTATGCCAATTCTGCAAGTATGGATAATTATCATAATCCCCCAAATCTCTTAATTTGCCATGTCTCAAAACCAGCCATGTATACTGCACACCTATGCATGTTTACTTGGAAGTAAGTCCCACCATATTTAATAGGGCTTACTCCCTAGCAAGTATGTTTAGGATTGTAGTGTATATTCACTACAGTAATTCATTCACCATCTCAGTCAATCATTTTATTTTATTTTATTTTATTATGTGTCTAGCTTAATGCTAGCAAATCATTCACCCACAGGGGGTTAAATGCAACTGTGGGAAAGTGGATGACTGCTGGGTGTGCAAATATTGGAACAGAGGCTGTCTAAACTTCCTTAACATTCAAATAAAAAGACAAATTAAGCTTTGATTATTTATCAATCCCTGACACATGGTCAACATAACCTACAGCAGTCATGTACATTTTATTTATTGAAACCATTTATACTCTGACTTTCAACTTTTATACAGGCCCCCTCCACAGTTTACAGCTCTAAAAAACAGAGAGCTTCCAACAAAAGCACAATATACAAGGAATGGGCCATAGAAACAGAAAGAATGAGCAGAGAGAAAACTTAAAAGTATGGTCATATATAAACCTGATGATTGGCATATGCTGCCAGTTCATGAGATTAAACAGCCTGTGGATTGCGGAGGCCAAGCAGGAGCAAGTGCGGAGTTGTCAGTCGTGGCACCCAAATCTGTCCCTGGATTGTTGAAATTTAAACACCCAGAATTTGAACCCAACAGCATACCACAGGTGTAGAAGTTTCAACAACCCAGAGTGCCAGGTTTGGAAGACAGGACAAACAATAAAGGAACAAGAAATTCCTGGGTTCTGTAACGAATTGGATGCAAAGCAGAAGCAGTGAGTGGGTGGGGGCAGCATGCTCATCCATGCTTACCTATGGCAACCCATTGTTTTCAGCAGACCCTAGTGAAATAGAACTACGTTCATAACTCACGTAAAAACTTGTAAAGTACTAGTTCTCATTCCCATGTTCTGAGGAGCCAGTGTTCAATGTGGCATTTTCACAGCCACCAGTTCTCCACATCCAGCTGCTTGTGTTTCAGAATCACTTGCCCAACAGCGCTTCTGGGAGCAACCCAGAATGGGTGGAAATTCTTTCTTGAAGGAGGCAAGTCTGTGGAGTTTGCATGAGGGGACTGCATTGGCCTGCTCCCTTCCAGAAAGAAATGATTCCACTCGCTTCAGCAATTCTTTTAGGAAAAGCTAAATCTCCCTTGCTTAAGCAATGGGTATTGTTTGTGCAATGGAACTGGAAGAATTGGTGGGGGTGTAAATGACCCACTGGATACTTTTCAGAGCTTCTACAATTGTTTCAGTCTACTAAACAATGAGACATATTGTATGGAGCATCACCTACATTGTTTGTTGCAAGTTGAGTGGCTTCTCTCATGCCTTTGAGACATTGGAATCTAGAGTTTTCTATGTGCAGAAGCTCTTCCTTCAGTAGGATGTGACAGAGAAGTGTGTTGCAGGAAACATCTAGAAGCACAAACATGCAAGATAAATTCAAGTTTGATGGGTTAATGGCTTGTGTTGACCTGGCTTTGTTCATATATGGCCTGACTTTATAGACTTTGCATTCATCTATTATTTGGTCCTGTCACCCACCAAAAATATTTGTGGAAGCAGTCTATACCGAAAGCTTGGGTACTCACTTTGGAAAGCCATGATTTTTTTCCCATCCATGAGAAATTAAGAAGATCCAAATCTCATTTCCTCTGCTAGCGTCAGATTTATTTCGTAGCATGTACAAAGCACTTTACCACTGCGGTCACAAACAGACCTAAGAGTCAGAGCTACATTAACAAAGAAAGTGGTCTAATGAATTATGTATTCCTTCCATCAGATGTGGATGTGGGTTAAACCCCAGTGTGCATAGCTTGATTTAAAGAAAAAGATCAATTCAGCACTTTCTGCAAATGAAATAAATAAATGTCATGCCATTGGGGCCTGTATCATTCTGACAAAGTATCACTGTTTAGAATTTGGTTATGCTCATCAGTAATATAGATGGCACTACTTCCCCAGTGGAGTTTTGGTCCTGTCTTTAAAAACCTCCAGTGCTCTAACAGTATATGTTGATTCAGGGTTCATCCAAGAAGTCACTCTTCTCAAAATCTAGTTCAAGTTTTCTCCGCTTTTTGGTCATTGGTGCTCAGAGTGCCCTTTGCCCTCAAAGCATTCATTCACTTGGGAGACAATAGATGGACTAACAGCATCAGTACCCTTAAGTTTTTTTCTGTGGGCTCTGGGTCCATAGATTTTCCATGCCTATAACATTGGCAGGAGCCTGGCAATTGCCACCATTTGGCATTGGGCACACCTGTTGTCAAAATACGGGTTTGTACTTTCATCCTTTTAATGCTTAACAGTATGCTTAGAGTTGTGGTTGCTTCCTGTGGGCAGAAAGGCCACTGTGCAAATAATTTATGATGTTTGACAAATGAGCTTTGTTGGCATTTTTTTCTTCTTTTTTTAAATAGCCTGATCCAAGCTTCTGGTGAACTGAGAGCTTTTAATAACTCTACTGGTTGTCTTTGACATTTTATAGACTTGACCCTTTATTTACTATTTAAATCAGTAACATACAGCTCCACTTAGATAATAACACTGATCATAGGTTTTTCTTGGCCAAATAATCACCTACACTTTGCTATTTTCAGACTGGAAATAAATAGTGGCGGAAGACTTGATGGGCTTAAGGAATTCACTAAGGTTGCTATTTCATTGTTGATCACAAATTAGTTTGTATGTGTATGCTATTTCTGTATTTGTTTACTGTAAAGTAAACAAATTCAGTGGCAAGTTTGCTTGACCATTGAAGTCATTTGAATGCATGCTTTGGTCTTCTCAGTGAATTTGTTCAGGGTATCCCAGTTTCTTGATAGGTTATTTCCAGAAGCAAGCAATTCTGTTGAGCATGAATTCCCAGAATGCCATGCAGACAATTCAGCTGCAATATAGAATAGGACAGAATCCCAGCATGCAACTGGAAATAGTACTGGTTGCCACAGCAAAGGCAACCATCATGTTCCCCAACCAGGAGAAATACTTTTAATGAAACAGTGATTAGGAAAATACAAATTGTATGTTTCATGGTACACTACTATGCATGTGAAGACAGAAAAAAAACCTGTAACTCCCAGTTTTCCCCAGCTAGCTGGGGAAGGCTGCATGTTGTAGGAACCTTGTTCTGACTAAACATGTATAGGATTGTGCCCTTAAGGAACTTAGTTGGAGGGCGGGGTGGGGGGGTGGGAAATGAGAATATTCTCCCTCCATGGAAGACACCTTATCCTAGAACATCACATATTTTTTATTCCCTTCCAATGCTTTGTTACCATGACCATGTCCACATTGGCCTATTTTCATATTGCTTTTTCACTATCAGTTTTACTGATTAGAACCAAGCCCACGTTAAAGATAGGGCATCAGAATCACCCAGCGTGTTTCCCGAGGTAACATGACCCTTTCAAAGTCTGTCAGGTATGCCATATTTGGAAGTAGCTATATTAATGCCAGCAGCTGTAATGCAAAACATATCTAGGAATCAATAGTGTACTCTTCAGGAGTCTGTGACCAAGCTAGCAGTCACTGGCATTCTATTGCAGCTTAAAATTTCTAAGCCCATTCTTCGCTCATTGCGCAATCCCAGCTATACTTACAACATCATACGTAAGCTCTCACTTAATTCCAAAATTAAACAGTATACCCCTCAAGAGATAGCATATACTTCTTCAAGAATCCCCATCACACAAGCTTTGTATCTGCTCAATCATATAACTAATAGACAAATGTGTAAACAGGGAAAGGAGAGGGAAGAAAGAAGGAAACTACCCTTTTAAATAAAAGCGGAAAATGTGGTAAATATGGTAAGTATTATGTCAAGGTCTTTTCAAAGGCTTTCCAGCCAGCTTTTCTAATCAAGCTTAAATCTGATTTTAAAACTCTTGGTATGACTGTGAGAGTGTATGGTGGAGGGGTGTGTGTGTGTGTGTTGCCCAAACAGTCAATCCCAGCTGAACTCTTTTTTCTAACAACCTTGCCTTTTGCTACACTTCCACATCTATGGGTCTGCTTTTTCAAATCCAACTTAAAGCTTCAGGGTGTCTAATTTATTGTAATAATTAATTCCAAGTCAGTTTCCAGCTCTTGACTCTGAAATGTTTACCTTCCTCTGATTCTCTACAGCTTTCCATTTCTTAAAATGAATCATGTTTAATATTCTATACAGTCAAAAGATGTGGAGACAAATGAAATGGGACAAGATTCATTACCTTGCAAAGTTACTGATGTTTTGAGGGAGAAATCTCCACAATATGGGTTGACTTGAGGGAATTCAGACTTGGAAGCATAAATAGATATCCTCTCTTGTTTTTCCAGGGATCACCAGTCTGCTTGCCAATGGCGTTTACAGTGCTGCATATCCCTTGCATGATGTAAGTGGACTTGGAATATATTTTATGTTTCTACAAACTGATACCAAGAATCCTTAATGCGTTTGGTATGAATGGCACTATCCTAAACATCTCCAGCGTTTCATGAGCCCAGTGTCCTGCACTACTTCTATATTATGTCTGAGCAATTTCTTCAGGAATACAGCTGCCGACTTTGAATGGGTGCTGTAGCACAAGGAATAATCTCCTTTAGTTTTATATAAAACACAGCCGTAAAAATGACTCAGCAAAGGACCAACCCAGCAAGAGCCAGGCTTTTGACTTTCTCCTGTCAAGGTCATTGGGACTGTTTAGGCTACATTCTGTATCTATATTTGTGGCACTATCTAGCTGGTTTCCTGAACTAAATCTCTTGACATCCTGAACTAAATCTCTTGACAATTGCAATGTTCATGATGGTGTGGACAATTCTGAGTGGAGAGGCAGTTTAGGTATTTATGCTAACTGTTTGTACCCTGAAACACATGCTGTAGATTCACATTAATGTCTGTGCAAGGATGGCCAACTTATTTCATATTCACAGTAGAGTACCCAAATAGATGCAACTAATGTTAATATTAAGGAATGTAATTAATTACTAGTGTATCTGTGGGTGAGTGGTGGTAATGGTAATAGTAACAAGAGCAGCAAAGGCATATATGTTTCATGGAATGTTTTATTATTTGGCCCACTAAAGCCAAAATCATGCATTTCCGTAGTGCGGAAGTCACTTCCCTGTGGTCTTGGGAATGCATCTGGCCCACTAGTTTAGTTTCCTTCCATTTCATTAAAGCAATGCATTGCAAACTACTGGTTATTAATCACTTTCTGACAAATGTAGGAAAATATTTCTGGACCCAGGATTTTTTTAAATAAAGGAATTGGTTTGACCCTTCCTTTTGAAATAACATTTCACCCTCTGACAGCTGTTTTGTGGATTTTGCAAACTAAGCCAAAGAAACTGCTGGCACCTTAAAAGATTATAAAGATTTATTGTAGCAAGAGATTTTGTAGGCAACAATCTGCATTATCAGAACCTGCTGAAGGAGTAGGATCCTGTTGCCTGTAAAACACCAAGGAGGAGATCTTGCATTACTGCATCACACCTGTCATTAGCTGATGCTAGTTAATCAGAAGATTAAAGAGTAAAATGCTGGCCAAGCATATTCTGCAATCCTTCTGCATTTGGGAGCATCCTGTGGGGAAAAGCAGGCTTAAACCACACACAATGTTAATTATATGGTTTTATCCCCAGTCACCCACATAGTGATCTCCAGTGGGTGGCTAGCACAAAAAGAGACATATTAATCCTACCGTTCAACCAGTGTTCAACCTTACCTGTCCCCCCACCCCCAACAGTGTTCAGCCCCAGGAGCAAAACAAAATGAGGACTGCTATCTCCCAGGGGACCTAGACTCACAAAATCAAGGCAAAGGAAAAGATTAGTCAGTCTCTTCCCATTCTAATGATGGTCACCTGTTGAAAAAGGCAGTCTGTGTGGTTGCTTTGGGCTGAAAGAAGGAAGCATACCAGGCAATTACATGATAAGTATTACATAGGTGTATATTACATATACATATGCATAGATCACATATATTTTGATCGTAAGATGGTGCTTTTGGGTTGATTACAGTGTAAATCTCTCTGAGCCTCATTGCTTCCTACTACCATAAGGGCAGATGTGCAAGTGGGAGGGGCTTGTAGTGAAAAGTTAGGCAGTACTGCTCTTTTCATAGTCTTCATGCGCCCACAGAACCAGAAGTCTTCAACAGTCCAGGATGTCTACCTTGAAATTAGCAGGCTACTTTGTCTAGGCTTGTTTTCTGATCGTCAACCATTACCCTGGAAAGGCATGCCTGCCATCTTTGGGTGTGATCTGTTAATTAACACTGGTTGTCTTTTTTTCTTAAGGGTGATTATGAAGGTGAACATGCTGAGCCCAATGACAGAAAGGTAAGTTGATCTAGGAGGACTCAGCAAGTTCTAAAGTGTGTCCGCTTCAAGAGTCACCTGTTGGGCTTTGAACAGTTGCCAAGATTTCACAGGAAGGCAAGCAGTGCTGTGCAGGAGAGTCACGTTTAAATGTTGCACTCACTCTAGCAGAAAATACAGTATAGATACATGCTAGCCATCAAGGTCAGCCAGCCATCCAAAGGACCGCTCCAAGCAGCAAGAGACAGGGAGCATATTCCAGTATCACAGAGCCAGGGCCGGGAAGAGGCTGGTAGCAGTTTGGACAAGTTGTTCTGGCAGGTTGTTTCTGTGCATGTGGAAGACATCAGGCCGACACATTTCTAAGGCCACTGTTCTTCCAGTTTGCTTGGAAGTTGGAAGTGCAAGTAATGGAACCTATTTCCAATAATCATGCACAGAAGTGAACTGTTGCATCCTTCCAGTATTTACTCACTTTTTCTTTCTTCTGCCTTTTGTTCAGAGACGGGTGGTGGTGGGGAGTACATGCAGACTCTGCACTGCCAACTGATTGTAATTTCCACTGACTTTAGCAAGTGTGTAAATACAAGTCAGGCATTCTGAACTGAAGGGGTGTGATGTAACTTGTGTAATATGAGAATATTTTAGAATTTAGAAAGTTTTGCTGCCTTCTTTTTCTTACTGCTGCTGTTGTTGTTGCATCACATTCCTATACTGCCCATAGCTGAAGCATTCTAGGCAATTCACAGTATTTTAAATCACCCATCCAGATTTCAACCAGGCTTAATCCTGATTAGCTTCCAAACTTAAGCAGAATCAAGCACTTCAGGCTATATGGAAGCTCTATTGTGTTCCCAAACTGTCTGGGGCTTTATAGATTAAGATCTGGTTAAAAATGTTTCCCAATTCATATCTGAAGATTATTGCTATTGTTGCATTACATACTCCACTTTTCTTCCTCTTGCAAGGAACTGAAGGCAGTTTACAAGGCCTTGCTCCTCTCCATTTTATCCTCATAACAACAACAACTCTGTGAGGTAGGTTAGGCTGAGAGTCTGTGACTGGTCCAAATTCACCCAGTGAGTTTCATGGCTGAGTGGGGACTAGAATCAAGATCTCCAAAGTTCCAGTCCAGCACTCTTAACCACTACATCACAGTGGATACAGTGGATTGTGTAAGCAAGCAAAGAGCCCCTGAATCAGGCTGTAAAAGTATGCCCACCTATCAACACCAGAGTACTTTATTAAAAAGTGACTCTTCCTGTGCTGCTGGTGCAAAGGCAGAACCTTTAAAAGCAATCTTTTCCTGGCTTAGACCCTCCAAGACATTGCCATAATATCTACACCTCTTACTGAATGTTTTTGAATGAATAGATGTATTCAAAATCTGTTCCCTAGATTCTAACCCCTAAGTCCACATCTTAAACTGCAGTTAATCTTAAGTATAATGTAATGAAACAAGCCAGCTTCATAAAGAAAAGACTAAGGTTGGCTTATTATAGGTTGGATTATTATGATAAACTATAGTTGGCTTATGAGAGTAAACTATAGTTATCTTCAGCTTATCTATACTGTCACAATAGATTACAGTTAGTCCAAAATAGAAATAAAGGCTTCCAAATTTCTCACAGCTGTACTGGAGGGGAGGGAAGGTTCAAGATGCTAAACTGTGTTTAGTATTACCTGTAAACATAGCAGGCACTGGGCATAACAAAAAATATAATCTTTTCAGTAATCTAAAGTTTGGCTAAACATAGAATGTTGTTTACACAGAAAAATATTAATGGGCAAAAAGCAATTTACATAACCGAATGTCAGATTGGGGCATTCTACTTCGTCTAAACCTCAGTTTTGCAAATGATCCTAAAGTAATTTGTTGTTATTCTGAGGAGCTCCAAGAAAGGTACAGAGCTTTTTTTTAAGCTGAAGTCCAGAACATACTGGCCTTTCACAGTAACTCAGGATCAACACAAACTGTCAGTCATGTAGGTTGGGGACTACCCAATAGTATTAATTCATTTTGTGTTTCCATAATAAATAATTGAGAATCTAATTAGCTGTGGCATTGAGCGCTACAGGCAGTTGCACCTGTTTATTAACACTCTTTGTTGTTGTTGGCCTTGTGATATTTTGCACATACCCCACAGCGAAGGAATTCTTTCTGATCTTAGGCACCACAGCGTAAATCCAGAAGAGCTCTGTGACCTTAGCTATTCATTTTCAAGTTCACGCGCAGTGCCTTTGATTTGTGAAGTAAAGGGCTGAAGTATACTATTGCTGAAGTCCTAAAATAATGGCAGGGAGATATTCTGATGTACCTAGATCAATTTTACTACCACCAGGAAATAAGCCTGCTATAGGTCTAATACACTTGATACAACTATTGTATCAACCGCCTGGGAACTGGGAATAAAATAACTGCTCCCAATTTCATGGTTTAATTGCACAGATAGAGTCACAAAATAAATGTAGTGGAACAGCTATCCCCTTCACCAGTGTTTTCCATAAAACTGACCTGGGCAAGCGCGCTTTCATTACCACATTATCCAAACTGCAGTTTGTTCCGCAGTGTCACGTGAGCAAACTTCCATCTTCTCCTCTCCGCAGCCCCCCAGTCTGGTCCAGAAGTTTCCCCAACCCTCTGCAGCAGATTTTGTGGAACATGGGTGGGAGAATGAGAAAGGCGACTGCAAGGAGAGTGGAAGTATGTTTTGCCCATAGTGCCCATTCTTCTGGCAGACAGACACTGTTAGTTTCACCTAGTTCTAGTTAAATGGTGCGATCAGTCCAAAAGTCTTAAATGTAACATTTGTTGTCCCGAAAAACAAGGGAAATTAGGAGATTTTGATTGTTTCAAAAGTTAAATTTTGGTATAATAAATTAGAATTGGGTTATTGGAATAAAAGCTGCAATAGTGAAAATTCCAGGCGCTTGCTTTTTCCACAGCACCAAGGAGCATGGTCAGCCCCTACCATTATCAAATATTTAAAACACTATGCATCTCATATAAAACCAATTCCCAAATTTGAACCCACATAGATTTGCATTAAGGAGTTCAGGTGCAAATAAAAAATACTTGGTGGTAAGATATATGTTTACTTGGAACTATTAAAGTCCTTGGCTGTAACCAAACAAAAGTAAAAATCAATATCCATAATTTAAATAGAGTATCTGAAAAATGGAGGTGGAACAGAGTTGCACATCCAGAAAGGGCCACTGTAACTACTGAGAACTGCCAACAATTTACCAAGCACAAGCAGGTTTGGTCACCTTTATTATTACACCGGGAAGAAGAATCAACCTAAAAATATAACTTGTCTCCTGCTGCAAATTCAGTCTTCTTTGTATTGATTTTATGAGTATATACTGTCCCTGGCCTTTATTTTAGAATATCCTGTGTCTAAAATAAATTAATAAACATGTTGTTTTTCTGCTCATAGGTTCAGTGTGCATCTTGCATACGGAAGCATAAAATCCGTTTGGTGATTGAAAGCCAGTTCCCTCTGGCTCACCCTCACCAGTTACTCAAAATATAGGCATCTTCCAGATCTATTAAGAGCCTTTCTGGTTTATGCATCGCTACAAATCATAGCATCAGAGCCTTACTTGCTTCCTCCCACCCCTTATGTCTGCCATCCAGCCCTCTTATAGATTAATGCAAGAAGCTGTCAGGGAGCCAAACCACCAAGCATGTTCAATACTTAATGCAAATGGTATGTATTGGGAACACAAAAACATCAAAATGGTGACATAGAGGACAACATGAACTCAGCAGTGGAGTCAAAGGAAAGAACTGCTTGCTTGTGATTTTCACTTTCATTTTCACTTCTTTTACAGCTCCTATGTGAGGAGTGGGCAAGCTATGGCATCTTTTATAAGTACCAGCCAATTGACCTAGTGAGGTATGGACTTTGAAACCTAGAGGTACTTCATGTGTTAAAATCAGGGCATTACCCTGATTTGGAAATCTCTTTTAAGTGCTTCAGTGTCTGTGTACATGAGATAAAAAGATGAGAAGGAAGAGGAAGAAGGGGACGCTGATCAGAGAGAGGGATGTTGGGGGGGCATGTTGAGAGAGAGAGAGATGTAGTAGTTCTGAAATGCAGCATACATCAAACTAGTTGTGGTGTGCTGCTTTGGAATGCATTTCTTCTCCCTTGTTTGACTTTCAGAGGTCCACTTCACAATATGCTAAAGGTAACACCTCTTTTAATATATTCCATGGCTCTATTTTTGTTGGTGTTATGAAGAAACAGCAACCATGGAACTTACAGCTGCAACAAAGCAGAGCAGAGTCCAGGGAAGTGAGCACAGGGAATCTGACAGATTCTCAGCACCCAAACAGATTCCTCCCAAATCCTTACCCAAACCAAAAAAGTAGCAATATTTCTGGGAAATTCAATTAAATCTATGAAATATAGGTAGTATATCTCAAAACCTTTAGTAATTTATATCTTGCAATGTATCAGGAATGTAGTTGCAAGTATTCACATTGCTGTTTGTCAAAGCTCCTAAAGCACAAGGCTACTACATCATTGACCTAATCTGCGCTGTGAGAATGTCCCTCTGCAAAATGCTCTTGATGTGAGTTGGTATCTTCACAGGGATGGTAAGCAGTGGGTATACCACCCACTCAGCTGGTGGCTCAAGAAAATCCTTGAAGAATTGGCTAAGAGCACTTCCAATCAGCTTCTGCATTCAGAGTGTGTGTGTGTGTGTGTGTGTGTGAGAGAGAGAGAGAGAGGGAGGGAGGGAGGGAGGGAGGGAGGGAGCAGGTCTGCAGCTATCTGGAAAACAATCCATATATTTAGTAAACAGTTGCTTCTTTGTTCTGCCCAGATATTTGCACATTTTCTTCCTGAATGTTTCCAAAGCTGCCATTTTGGCTGTGAAACACTGTCTTGCAAAAACAGGCTATCTAGAAGCCTGAAGTCAACTGTTCCCAAAAAAACTGGAAATGGAACATGAGGCTTCTGAGGACATTCCAAGTTGCCCTGACCACATGGTGATTCTCTGCCTGTCTCTGGTTCCTCAACCAACAATGGTGCAAACTGGGGCAAAACGGGCTTTTCAAAACCAGAATGGGATTGTTTTTCTTTTCAGCAAATGTACTAGAAATACAGTACATGAATCTTAAACAGCAATAGAATCAGGCCAATAATAACATGGGTTTGGTCATTCCATGATCCTTCTAGTCCTGTGGTTCTCAAACTTGCAGCATTGTACATCCCCTTTCTAAACTTTACTAGACCTTCCATGCACCACTCAGCCAAATCTGGATGCCTCAGTCACTGTATCTGCTTAATCCCCTTCCAAGCCACAGCTTTCTGCATCATGGCTTAGCTCCTTTGCTCTGTGCTTTCCTCAGTCAGCTCTTATGTACACCAGCTGTCATTGTTCCCCTAGTTTGGACAAACACATTATCTCCTTAGTACTTCAGTGAGAGTTGCTACATTGCAACCAAAAATTTGCCCTTTATCTAGACATAGTTGACTTTTGCGGATTTGAATATTTGCTCTTTCCCTTTAAACATACTTATTTTTATTTATTTAAATATGCATAAGCCTTCTTTCTAGAAAAGTCTGCCAGTGAAGTGGAAGATGAAGTAAATGTGGCATCTTCTGCCTGTTTGGCAGCCATCTTGTTCCTCCACATAGAAACCTACCTTATACTGAGTGCTTTTCTGTGTCACTCAGTGTTGTCTCTCCAGGCTTCTTGTGGATTGTTCTGAGTGGTACCTGGGTGTTGGGTTTGCACCCAGGACCTTCTGCAAAGCTCACATTCTACCACTGCACTATGACCCTTCCCCAGAGTTAAGAACATGCTTGTTTTACTATTCATTAAATTTATACCCAGTCCTTCCTCTTCGGAGCTCACGGCAGTGTCCATTGTCATTCTCCCTACAATTTGTACTGCTACAACTCTATAAATTAGGGCATGGCTGATTCATCTCTGTTGTCATGAGCCAAACCCTTCCTTCCATGTCTTCAGTCTCCAAAACCCCTTACAAGGCAGATCTTTGGTGGCACTTCCAGACAACTTGATTCTAAATAGGCTCCTAAGAAGCTGAAGATAATCCTCTGCTCATGTAAAGAGAATTGAATCCAAACTGGCAGATTTCCCCAGTCCCTCCACCTTAGTTATTCTGTTGTAACCTTAACACTCAAGGTGGCTCCCACTGCTGGAATCCAGCCTGTGAGATGTAACTAACTGAGTAGCTTGCCTCTCCTGACACTTCCTCACAGGGTCAGGGACAAGATAAGGCAGCAGGTCTCCCTCCTTTCCTGAAATCAAAAGCTCCTTTGATCCTCCTGCCCTCCCACTGCTCCCTGCTCTGTGTCTTCTTCAGAATCCGATGACTCACAGCCCTGGAAAGTCAGAAAAGAGTGCGTGCCTGGTCCACTCACTGCATCCCTCTTCATCAGTGAACTTAAATGTAAAGAAGAAATCTGGCAACCCCGGCTTTATACCTAGCCTGAACTTACAGAGCAAACAGCATTTACTGCCTTGCAACATCAGTCATTCCTGTGGAGCTGCAACTTTGGGGAACCCTGCAGGTGTCTTTATATTGCTGTTATGGTCTGCCAAGACCAATCCTCTAATTCAAGTATCACCTCATTAGTTCAAAGTTGGTGATTGCAATGGAATGTCAGCTAGTACTCATTAGCACTTCACTTTGACTTACTGAAAGCTTCACTAGAAAATGTCAGCAGGCAATAGCTTCTTTCTCCCTAAACTCCCACTTCATTCTTTCTTCTCTTGACCAAATACCTCAATATAATGCACACCACCAGTTATCACATACATTTACACAAAATAAAGTAAAGACTTATCAAAGTCTCTTTGCCTAGAATCAGAATTACAGTGGTACCTTTGCTCACGAACTTAATCCGTTCCAGGACTCTGGTCGTGACCCAAATTGGTCGTGAGCCAAGTCAAATTTCCCCTTAAGGTTCAATGTAAATAAGGTTAATCCATTCTGTAACTTTTTTTTTAATCACAAAAATTTGAAGCAAAGTGACAAACAACAACAAAGATCACAGCCATCACCCTACCTCCGAGCACGATCACAGCCATTCCCCCCCTCTCTGCATGACCGCAGTTGCGCCGTGTTCTCTGCCTGAGCGCAACCGCAGCCATAGATGGGCACGATCACAGTCACGCTCAGGCAGGGAAGATGGGTGCAATTGCGGCCATTCCCCCCCCCCCCCCCCCCCGCCGCACTCGTGCAGGGAAGATGATGCGGAGTTCGCAACCTGAGGCAAAATTTTTCTGAAATTTCTGTTCGCAACCTGATTTGGTCGTGAACTGAGGCGTTCGTGTGCCAAGGTACCACTGTACATGTTGCCTTTTTTAATAGGAGGGTTTGTACACTAGAAAGCAAGAAAAGAAATGGTTTGTCATTTCTGCTTTCTCCTCCTCTTCCTCTGTGTGTCAGAGGAAAAGATAAGAAGGTTCTGCCACTATTTAACAGAAAACTGCAATTTGCGCTGTATCCAAATGTAGCAAAATATGATTTGGTCAAAGTATGATTTGCACACAAACTAGGGCTTCAAATCAGGATCAAACCATTGTTTGGGATCCCAGATTGTGGGCAAATCATACTTGCTGATTTCAGATTCAGGGACAACTGGATTGCTGCTACCTGGTAGCAGAAGCTGCTAATGTCCCTATATTGTATTTGCATACAGAGGAAGGACAAGGGGAAGTGAGAGAGAAACCTGAGCTATGATATGAGCCTGAGGCCCATGACTGATGTCATCATAACTGTTAACCAGTTTGTCATTACTTCAGAGCTGGGGAAGCAATCTCTGTCCTATAGTAGCCAGGATACCTATAGAAACAGAAGGGCAGGGCTGCTTGATAAACAGGAGTGAAGGACTTACTTAGTGCCCCCAGTCCTGGATTTTTTCCAAGCCATCAATATATCTCCAAGGGGAAATGCATTCCAGCTAATCAGCAGGGCTTATTTTCTCCTTCAAAGTCAAACCTCCTCTGTGATTCATAATTTTAACTGTGATATGGTTTAAGAAATAGTATGCATTACACAATGTTTTCTGTCTTCAATGTATTTCAGAAAGTACTTTGGGGAAAAGATTGGACTGTATTTTGCCTGGCTGGGAGTTTATACACAAATGCTTATTCCAGCTTCCATCGTGGGGATTATTGTGTTCCTGTATGGTTGTGCAACAGTGAATGAGAATATCCCAAGGTAACATAAATAAGCCTGGGTTTCTATGCTGCACGTATTCAAAGGTTTCACATTCTCTTTTATGGCAAGGGGAATATTCCGTGTACTCAGAGTCAGGCTGACTTTATTTTTATGGAAGACCATGGGAGACCTTGATCTTCTTTTAAGTTTCCAGTCATAGTAGTCTTATATATCACACTACATTTTTTTCAGAATTTGGAATATCATATGATCCCAGCCCATTTATGATGGCATGGTTCTTTTGAACTGTTGTTAGATGTCCAGATGTACACCCTGATCTGTCAGTTCTTTGTCACAGCTGGTTGTGCACACAGCTGAGATAGTACCATCTCTGTATAAGGAGAACCCATCCATTACTTCTCCTTGAACTATATAAGAAAATGACCAGAACCTATGTCTGAGGGACCTGAGCTGTTGTACTCATGTTCTCCTTGTGGGATCCTGTGGGCAGCTGGTTTTTCCTTATGCAAACAGAATGCTGGATTAGATGGACCATTGGTTTGATCCAGCATGACTTTTTTCCTGCTCTTATGGCCTTCCAGTCTCAGCAATATGAGGATAATTATTATGAATAGCTCTCCAACTGCTAGCCACAGTCTCTTTGCATTGAACCACTTGTGCTGAGTACCTATTTGCACTACACAGGTTTTGGTACTTAAAACGTACCTGGATTGTGGCCAGAGCCTTTTCATTAAGTATAAATCATACCTGTCCATAGTTACAGAATATTGAAGTGTACATATGTTTTACACTGTCTGTGTAGTTTACACTACTTTATCTGCATTGCATGTGAAAGATAAATCCTTAAGTAGCATCTATGAAAGCATTAGCAGATAAATGGGAGACTGCCAAAGATTTAAGAGCAATATTTTAATTAGGAAGCAAAATGTGTGGTCTAAGACAAACAGGTCAAGAGTATAAGTATCAAGGCAGGTGAATACTCATCTACCAAAGTCATAATTAGCTCACTGTACGCAATCAAGAATAAGATTGCAATCATGCATGGATTTATCTGGGAGTAAGCCCCACTGAAATCAACAGGCCTTACTTCTAATTAAACCTGTGTAATACTGCACTGCTTGAGATACAAAGCTGATGAGGTCGTACCTTTTACTGCCTTCACTTAATGATCATTTCTTTGTAACTTGAAGTCTTTACCAGTGTGAATACTCAGACACCAATTGATGTTATTCAAGAAAAAGGTATCGACTTACTTGCTTTTTATCTCTCAAGAGTTCTAGTTCACTGTAGCGGCATTTTAAAGCTTTCAGATGTTTAATTGAGAATAGATCAATATATGCTACAGGAAATAGAATGAAGCTAATAATATATATTAGTTAAGTGCTGCAACAATATGAAAATTCTAATTTGTGACAAATGTCCATTTTTAGTCAACATTTTTGTTTCCTTTTGGTATTTGACTGAAGTAATTTCTGAAGAATATAACAATAAAATATTAAATATATCTTCCAGAGGCTGTGTTTAGCTTGGGGCTACCCTTAAAAATGGCCAAATTAAAAATAATAATAAATGTTGGGATAAAGATCTTAGTCATATAGAAGACTTTCCACTGCCTGGAGTTAGTTTTCTATCAACTTTAATGCCAGACTTTGTTTCTGAGCTATTCTGTACATTAGTTTCAATGAGGCAGTAGACTGACGCAGTGGTAGCAATCTGGACTGTACCATTTCAGGCTCTGGCAGACAGTATATCTGAATGTTCCCCTCAGTAAAAAGATCCTGAATGTAAAAAACTAGCACAGAAGGGAGAGAGCTACATTAAACTTTACAGTCTAAAGGGTCATGGTCCAGAATGCTGTCACTCATAGTAGGGCTCAGTTGTCAACCTAGAGCCCAGATCTAGTTTTATGACTAAACGATAGCCCTCTCTACACATTAATCACATGGAGAGGGGGACCATGCGGTTATCTGGGCCCCGGTTGTGCAGCATGGCCCCAGCTCATTTTTGAAAGCGAATGAAAGTAAATATACCATATGGAGGCAAGTTCAGGAAAACTGGATTCTTCCAGCTGGTGGACTCCAGCATATGTGGTGGTCAGGGATTATGGGACCAAGAGAACCAGGGACTAGAACACCTAAAGAACATATTAGGAGGAATTGGATTTAAAGGACAGGCTAAAAACCTACCATGGCTTGCTTTTGACCTTCATAATTCCCTCTTTTTCTGATGTTCGGGCTACATAAGAGGGAGATAACAGAAGGCTTGGAAATACCCCAAGGCTTGCATGAAAAAAAAAGTCTTCAGGAAAGCAAAGGATGGAATCCAAAACCAGCCTAGTGAGGGCTGAGCATGCTTAGTAGCCATGGAATTCTGTTGGAGCAGAAGTTGGGGGACGAAGGAATGGAATGGCTGGAATCCTAAACAGCAGCACTCCACACTGCAACATTTCATTGCAGGACTCACTGGTCTTAACCGACAAGCATTCTAGTTCAAGAAAAATGTTGACAGGTTAGAAAAGGTTCAAGAGAGAATGTGATAAAGTTCCAAAAAGGAAATCAAGTGAAGAAAAGATTAAGGAGCTGTTTATGTCTAGCATAGATAAAAGGAGTGGGCGATGTGCTTACATTCTGGAATCATTTTAAAGGATCTGAGGCAAAAGGGGAATGTTTCTTCATCCTGTTTACTGAGCAAAAGACAAGAAGAAATTATTTAAAGTCATTTCTTTTCCATATTATATCCCACCTGTCTTCCAAGAAGTTCAGAGAGGCATATATGGACATGAACTGGCATAATATTTAAGACAACTTTTTACTGACTTCATACTTTTATGCTGCAATTTTATTGTTTTTATTGAACATGTGATATTTTTATTGCTTTTGATTTTTAAGCTGCCTTATAAGAAGTTGTACTAAAAGAAGGTATTTTTTAACACGCTTGGAAATAGGAGACATTTCAGATAAAGTGCTGTCCTCAGTCTTCCCCAGTAAATTTCATGCCCAAACCTAGACTTCTGGTCTAAGTTAAGAACTCGACAATCAAAGAAGTTAAATCTGTAAAATGTCTTCTTTTCAGGACAGGAAATCTAGGCTAGTTGACATAACGTATGCTCCTTCCATCTCAGCAAACTTATGATTTTTATACAGTACAGTAAATGATCAAGACCAAGAGAGCAGCCCTAGCCAAATCATTAGGCTGAGGAGCAGGGGCTTAGGATGGGGTAGAAGTTCCATCCTAATCTCCAGCTGTCAGACTGAGCTTGCTCTGCCAGGGGGATGTCCCACCATTCTCCACGATTCCCACAGAAAGTTGGTGGTTGGCCTCAAAATGAAGTTTTCAAGAGGCAGAGGCAGCCAAAGCCCCTCTGTTCCATTGTTGCTAGTCGTGAAGTTGTGTCCAACCCACCGCGACCCCATGAACAACATTCCTCCAGGCCTTCCTATCCTCCACCATCCCCCGGAGTCCACTCAAGCTCACGCCAACTGCTTCAGTGACTCCATCTAGCCACCTCATTCTCTGCCATCCCCTTCTTCTTTTGCCATCTATTGTTCCCAGCATTAGGCTCTTCTCCAGGGAGTCCTTCCTTCTCATTAGGTGGCCAAAGTATTTGAGTTTCATCTTCAGTATCAGGCCTTCTAAAGAGCAGTCAGGGTTGATCTCCTCTAGAACTGACCGGTTTGATCGCCTTGCGGTCCAAGGGACTCACAAGAGTCTTCTCCAGCACCACAATTCAAAGGCCTCAATTCTTCGGCGCTCAACCTTCCTTATGGTCCAGCTTTCACAGCCATATTACCGACACCAACCTGGAGATGAAATAAATGAGAGGGGAAAACTGGAAAGAAAAAAAATAACTGTCATTGATCACTCTGGGAAAAACTAAGCCCTCCATCCTGGACCACCACTAATGACCTCCAAACTCGTGTCTATTAGTTGAACATAACCCACCAAGATTTCATGATTTTCACCTTTTCCTCCTCCTATCTCCACATGCTTAAATCTTGCCTGATAACGGCAGCTGGAGATCACAAAAACTTAGCCACAATTTTTTGTATATTTGCTTGCCCCTAATGAAGGCAATACCTAACCATGTTTTTTTTTGGACCTGACTAGGAATTAAGCTTCATTGAACAAAATGGGTCTTGCTTCTGAGTAAACCTGCCTAGGATTGGACTAGGCTGTTCCAGAAGAAGGCTCAGCCTTATATATTTTTTTGTCACACCCATATAGAAGCATATATGGCAAGAGGGTTCACGTGGAGAGTAACAAAACAAGTGTTGGGCAACTTGGAACAAATTCTGTTGCAATTTTCTAAGCTGCCTTGACCTCATTATTTACTATAATTTCCAGGAAGAGGCAAATTTTAATTAGAGCCAGAGGTCATGTACAGAAAAGATCCTTTAAACATTGTTTAGAGAATAAGAATAGGTTGTAGTTCACATTCCCTCCCCATCCTCAGGGAATCCCTTTCCTTTCCTTTTCAGTGGTAGCCACATCACCACATTACGTTGATCTGCTCTATGCTAAACATGATCACCATGTTTAGTTTTAGAACCAGATTCAAACCCTGGTATCAAACTCTAGTTGACAGCTGACACTGATTAGCATTATCTATGGATAATATCAATGTAGCGGTAGTTAAGGCTGGTAACAGAAGCGAAAAATGTACAGAGGGGAGGTAGGACAATACATGATTTTCTAGGGAGCATCCAGTAGTCTGCTCGATATCAGTTGACCATGATTCAGAAGCTGGCAGTGTTACATTTACACTGGACCAATATAGCTGTGTGACTATATTGACTTGACTTAGATCTCAGAAGGTTTGAATAAAAAGATCTTAATGCTCTTCTGCAGTCTCCCTGGTTAAAGGATTTAACCATCCAAGCCAAAACTTTTGTACAAACACAGAAATATTTGGATTAGTACAATATCACAAGACACAAACCAGCAAAGTTATAGCATCACAGTAGGTACGTGGTTAAGTTAACCTTAACTGTCAGCCAGTCACTGAAAAGGAATACATGAAAGAACTACTTTCCTGGCCTTCTTAATCTTCCTGATATTATTTGCATCTTGCACTTTTGCCAACATTTTATGCAGCTTTAATGGAAAAATTGTGGCAGACCATTCAGATGAATACGCCTTGCATATGAGTTACAAATCAGGGAGTATTACAACACAAAAGCCAAGCTTGAAAAATGGGTTATGTTCTTTAACATTTACTGCTTGTTTTCCTACAGCATGGAGATGTGTGACCAGAGAAACAATATCACCATGTGCCCCTTATGTGACAGCACATGTAACTACTGGAAGCTAAGCTCTGCTTGTGCCACAGCTCGGGCAAGCCACCTTTTTGATAACCCAGCAACTGTCTTCTTCTCAGTCTTCATGGCTTTGTGGGGTAAGAATATTTACATTACTTGTGTTAGCTCAAGTTTTGGTTGGGGTTTTCAGTTTGCTTATGTGCGTAAGAAAACAAGCAGGAGGATAAATCAGTGTTTTTACAATTCAACAGTTAATTATCTGTAGTCTCTTTTTTCCCTCTTCTCCCATAAAACTGTCGTGCTTATATTTATGTTCTGAACTGAAGGTTAAAATGCAGAAAGTTGCTTGGATGAATATAAAATTAAGCATTTGTCATAAAACTGCTGTATGGCATGTATAGATAGCATTACGGGGATTGCATAGCTTGCCAAAAAAATCTATTTGCAGACTTGGCTTCCAAATTAGACCATTGGAGAAGAGATTTATTGGGCATTTTTTCCTTACAGAAATGGTCTTTAACTTCTCAGAACAACGCAGGGATGAATAATGACCAAGCTTCTAAGTGCATTAGTGGTATCAATAGGATGATGTTTGTACCTGTCAAAGTGTCCTTTTACTTTTGAGGGGCATCCACATTTGCAAAGACCCTTCTGTGGTCAACATATTGAGATGTTGTATCAACTGAGAATTATGCATTAAGTGAACTATGGAACACCAAGGAGAAAAGCTGAGGCTTAGATTTAAAGTCTAAATATAAGCAAGAGTTTTCTTCATGCTTACATCTGGGTTACACAAATCATAGGCAGAGTTCCCAAAATTGCAGAGGGCTGGGAGTCTTGCATGTGCATCCCCACATATGCACTGCATACGGTAGATAATATGATATGGCTGTTTTCACATGATAGAGTTACTTGCATCTATTCCAAGGTGATCAATGAGTTCTAGTCATGACAGCTGTGTATTACCATCAATCTCCGACGCGGTATGCCTGCCTCTTAATACTAGCTGCCGGAGAACATGAGCAGGAGGGTCCTGTTGCACTTAAGCTGTGATTCTGTGCTTCCTACAGACATCGAGCTGGCAACTGTTGGAACACAATGCTGGACTAGATTGGCACTGCGGCTTTTCTTAGGATCAGTTTGAAGTCCATGCTTAAAGCAATTCATATGGAGAATGCAGCACAGCCCTAAGTGCTGGTTCTGATCTTTAAGGCCCTTAATAGTCTATGATGTGGCCAGGTACCTCCTGTACCTGTAGCCTTTAGAGGTTAGGTGGATACTGGAGAGAAAGACTTTTCTGCAGTGACATTACACTTGTTACGTGTGTTGAGAGCCAGTTTGGTGTGGTGGCTGCAGTGCCAGACTGGGGGATCTGGGTTCTAGTCCGCACTTGGCCATGAGTGACTTTGGGCCAGTCACTCACTCTCAGTCTGACCTACCTCACATGGCTGTAAGGATAAAATGGAACTGTGCACGTCCCCTTAGATTCCCCATAAGAGGGGAAAAGGCAAGATATAAATGCTGTGTAATCATGATTATAATAATAGTACATAACTTCCTTTTTCTACAAGTTTTCCTAGCTTGGTGGTTCCTATTGTTGGTGGACGCCTAATTAGTCCCAGGAAGGGCTGGCGCCTTCTCCCTATTTTGATCTGGAGGTCCTGACAAAATAAAATATTTGCCACGCAAAAATACTGATGGGAAGCTTTATTATCTTGCATGCAAGTGGTTAATACCATTAAGAGGTAGTAGCAAAGAACAACTGAAATCTAACAATAGTTACATTGTTGAACAATTGAAATACCTTTTTCACACCTTCTTTAGCCTGACTGGCTAACATTTCAGCTGCAGATGTGACTGATTTCTTTTATTTACCTATAGTGACAAAGCATTTTTATATTTTCATTTTGGAACACAATGTAAATTCACATTCTTGACATTTATCACCTGGTTATCAGCGAGCAACACCCTTCTTATCTACTGGTCATAGCTACTGTATACAGCCTTTAGCATTACTATGTTCTGAGTAAAAAAATTTGTTAACCCTTTCTTCAGCCTTCTAGTGGTCTTTTCCTGGACACTGTCTTTCAAATGTAAGGATAAATCTACCTTGTGCTCTTGAACAATCGCTCATTTTTATTTATTTCATCCCCATTCTTACCTTGTTTGGCTGCTCATCTTATTTTAAGTTTTTTGTTTGAATTCTAAAATATTTATTTTTCATTTTCATTTTCATTTTGTTTCCTTTGATGGGGTAGTACTGCTTTATTGTTCCAGATGAATTTGCTACATAGTGAGGTAACTGAATAATCTTCAGACTTTCATGTAAGAGATAGGCAGTGGAATAATTTCTACTAAAAACCAATATTCTAAAAATATCCAAAGTCCAGTTGTTCCGAGATGAGTTTCATTTCTACAGAGCAGAAGCAAGCAACCTGATCACCTCCAGATACATTTTGGACAGCAATTCCAGTGATCCTCAGACAGCATAAATAATGGTCAGGGATTATGGTAATTGTAGTCCAAACATGTGGAGGATATCTGGTTGTCTATCCCTACTTCAGAAGGAAAAGAAAATGTAAACACAGCCTGTTTTCCATATTCTCCCCATTTTTCCCAACAATTGCCTGCAGAAGTTCCAGTAGTGATTCTTTGACTGTTTGATCCAATGCAGGAGGGAAGAATTATCTTCACATACTGTTGTCCAATCTATCCTCTGAAACATGCAACGTTAGTCTATAAACTAAGCAGGGTGCCCAATTGGTGATTCTCTACCGAAATAAAACAACCAGGGGGTGGTTTTTGGGATTTCTCCCTCTAGCCCATGCTCCAGAGGGTTCGGGGACCCTTGGGAACAGTGAGTCAGTAGATGGCTGCAGTGCAGGGAATTGAAAGTCTCTGTGTTCCCCAACTTCCCAACAGTGGAGAGACACCAACTGACTCTTACCCTGTAACTATTTTGTGAAGTCCACTTAATTCCAAGAGTGCTTCCCAAGGCCTGATTCACAGATTTCAGTCTGCGGTGATAAACAATACATTTGAAGAGTTTATCATCATCTTTTCAAATGGAAAGAGAAAGGATGGAAATTAGGAAATTAGTAGTATTCTTCAAGCTTTGCACCCAAGGACTAGTTTGCATAATTGTTCAGAAAATGAGACCATAATTTACAAATGCTGAAACCTCAGAATGAAATGTGCCACTTCACACATTACTTTATTTTTTCCAAAATAAGTATCGTAGGACACCCTTAACTGCTGGTTCAGTTATTACAGTTTCACTTAACCATGGTTGGCTTCGGTCCAAAAGAGAAGAAATTAAGTGCTACTTTGAAGTGAAAATTCTCCATTTAATAAGGAAAGAAAAAATGTATGCTAAGGTTGCTAGGATGTATGGTCAGAACAAATCTTCTGTCTGTGATATTGTGAAAAAAAGAACTGTATTATGTACAGTGTGTTCGCTACAGTCGGTGTTTAGGTATCGGCTGGGGGTCTTGGGACCTGTGCCATGTGAATATGGGAGTCCTGCTGTATCTTCTTGTGTAAGAGGAGAATTGTGCTAGGCTTCTGCTTTGCCATGTGGATGAAAACAGAGTCTGGTGCAGCTCCCTACAATTTGCCTTTCCCCAGAAATGTTTGTATATAGACTGTCCAAGGCAGTAAACCATAATTTCAGAAGAGGCAACTGCAGTGCAGTGAATTCCAAGCTCAGTGACTCATGTCTTCTCCTGCATGCCTCAGGGCAAGAGCCCATATGCTCAGGCTTGTATTCTGCTGGCTGGGAAATTCAGAGAGCGAAGCTGAAAGAGATATGAAAAAGAGCCTACCCCAAACATATCATATTAAAACAGAACTTCTAAAAATGTACCAATAGATGAACTGAGATGCACTGTGGTTTCTAAATGAGTAAACATGGGAAAATTAAATGTCTACATTATTTTTTACATAAGGTATAATTAGGTGAACACCTGTCCCCCTGATATCCAGTTCAGAAAAATGCCATAGGAATCAGCCTTTGCATGCTGTGTATGATCTTCTTTCATGTTTGCATTCGTCTTCAGTCACAGGTGTGACTTGCTGAACTGTCTTCTTGTAGCTGAGTGATACAGCACAACCTTTGTGTGCAAACGGTCCAAGATTTAACTCAAAGCATCTGCAAGTAGGGATGGGAAGTACCACTGTCTGAAAACTTGGAGAGCCACCCCCAATCATTGAACAGAACTGAGCTGGATGGACCACTGATGTGACCTAGTCTAAGGCAGCTAAGGTATCTTCAAGGAACAAGTAAAAGCAACTTCTGTTTTTATGTTGTGTTGCCGCTGATCTGTGTCAGCGGGATACATTTTCCCACAGCATGAAAGACTGTCTTATGCCCTTGAAAAGATTGTGCTATTCCCACATGGATTAATAGTCTTCTGTGTCCCATCCATAAGAAATTTAAGATTAGATTAGGAAAAAGAAATCATTTCCCATACTGGGTTTATGGAGAATGAAGTAGCCTTTATCAGACAATAGAAGTTGCAACAATTATTCTTACCCATCTGATCTCTGCCTTCTACATTACATGCTTCTATGGCATTTTAAGCATTGAGAAAATTCCCTGTCGCATAGAATGTATTTGCATTGCTGATACCATACTATGCCATTTGATAAGAGAAATGCAGTTCAAATTTCCAGCTGTATTGTTTTTCTACCAAAATTCCAGTTGAACTAGTTTCAGTGAGAGCTCAGAACATGGCTTTCCTTCCTTTCTTTTCACTAAATCATCACTTTTCTATTTTTCTTAATATGAGGGGACTGGTACTGGGAGGTGTGTGTATGTGTAGTAATGGCAGATTGAAAAGCAAAGTGATTGAGTTTAGATTTAATTTTATAGTGCAGTCAGCAGCAGGGAAGCCAAGATGGAAGGAAGATTAATCTGAGCAAAACAACCTGTGCTGCTGAGACAGATTGTTTGTTATCACGTAGAGTGCCTTGTCACATTACATGCATTGAGAAATGTGATATATAAGCCAAAGCAGAATGTCATGTCTTTAAATAGTATCATCTCCTCATCCAGACAATCAAATATCTATTCTCTGTCTTTCAACCACCCCCACCCCTTTTCACTATACATTTTCAACTCCTGTAGTCTAGTCTT